CCTGGGAAGGGTGGGTGGGGCAGGAGACTGGCTGCCTGCTCCGCAGAGTCCTAGACTCTCTGCTCCCCCACAGGCTCTGCTGCTCACCACCATTCATCTTAGACACCTTGGGGGGCAACCCAGCTGAAGTGAGTCTTTCCTTTCCAACCCCCATCCACTATCCCAAAGCCTTCTCAGCGGCCTTCATCTCAGGCTCCAGAATAAGGTGGCCCTGCCCCCTGGTGGACAGATGTGGTATGGCCACAGGTCACAAAACTTCCCTGATCCACGGGGCACTTCCCACAGCTGAATGAGCCTCCCTCTCAGACTTGGGGTCCCCAAGGGCAGGGGCTGTTTCTCCTCCCCCCCTTTTCAGAGTCCATGGGTCCATGGAGTCACCTGGACCTCCCTCTTTTATGCCTCAGGATCTGAACCCTGGAGCCTCCATCCTAGAGACGCAGCAGTGGTTGCATCGGCACCGGTTCTCCAGCTACTGCAGGATACTAGCCAATTTCACTGGTGAGGCTGGGATCCTGCAGGGGCCCCTCTGTAGGGGAATGAGGGTGGGACACTCAGCAGGAAGCCTGCCTCTGTCCTGACTTTTGTGTTCCCTTCAACTAACTTTTATTTAGGACTAAGAGTTGTGCTATTATCCTATGTAATTTATACACTACCCCTCTCAAAGGCTCAGAGAGGTTAAATAATTTGCCTAAGGATTCACAGCTAGCAAGTGGCAGAGCTGGGATTTGAATCCAAGTCTGACTCTCTGGATATCCTAGGGCTATCTGTAGACTAATGTTGGACTGTGTCCCTTGCCATCCTTGATCCCAGGCCTCTTCCCCCAATTTGGCCCTGTCTGCCTCTGCAGGCACTGATCTGCTGAAGCTCACCCGGCAAGACCTTATCCAGATCTGCGGGGCTGCCGACGGGATCCGCCTTTTCAATACTCTTAAAGCCAGGTAGGTGCTGGGCACTGCCAACCGGTGTCTCCTTCCCACTGTAGTGCCACCTACCTGTTCAGCTAGCAGTCGTGTTTCATAGATGTTCAAGTTGAGAGGCACTTTAAAGGCCACTTTTCCCACTTTACAGAGGAAGAAACTTTGACCCTAAAAGGACACTGGCCTGCCTGAGGGTCACAGAGGCAGCTGGCAGGGCTGGACTAAAAAGTTAGGGTCTTTTTGTGGTCATTCCATTGGCAACACTCAATTTTGGGGGAAGAGTTAGATTTTTCTCATCTTCTCTCCCCCAGAATCCAGCATTCATTAAATGCTTAAGAAATGCTTGGTGATGTCTCTCCCTGGAGACCTGGGAGGAGACAGGCTCTCTCCCTGGGATGGGGGCTGTTAGTTCAGGTGTGAAGGGCTGATACATAGACTGTTTTCCTGGCGCAGACCCATCCGTCACCGGCTGACTTTATATGTGGCTCAGGAGGCCTCTCGGCAAGAGAACGAGGTTCCTAAGACCCCTGAATCAGGTGAGGTTCGGGCCTCTCTCCCCACAAGAACTTCAGGTGCGGCTGCATAACCTCTTCTGATCTGGGGAGAGGCTGATGCTCTGCCGTTCCTGGGGCCCAGGATGTCCTCGTTAGCACTCCCCTGCTTCCACGACCAGATTAGTCCTCTTCTTCCAGGAAGTCTCCTCCACGTTCTCTCCCTAACCCCACCTGACTGATGGATCATTCTATTAGTATGTGGGATTAGAACATTATAATCTTGTTATTGTACTTGGGGTTCAGTCATTCATATGTAGATGCCCCATCTCTTTCAACTAGGCGCTCCCCTCAAGATGAGGAACAGCAGGTGAAGACTAGGTGGATTTATAAGCCTTTTCCCTCCTTTACTCTCTCCCCTCACACCCACTGTTCCATGAGGCTGTCACCATGCCCTCTCATCTGCCTGGTATCTGGGGCTCCCTCTAGAACCCCCTCCCCACTGACCCCCTGCCCCTGTGCTGCCCACACCCCAGGCTTTTACCAGGAGATTTCTCTGGATGAACTCAGTGCTGTTGAGCTGATGGGGAAACTGGCAGAGCTCGTGGCCCTCCCAGTCAATCAGATCCACCGCCTCTTCCACCAGGGCCCTGGGGGCATCCTCATTCTCCTCAGCGACCAGGTACAGCGGCGGTGGTTCCCTACAAGGCTTCACAAAGGCCTGGATCACTCCTTTCCCTCTCCCTACCTACCTCGGATTATTCCATTTGGCTGCAAGAACTTTATTGTCTTAGTGACCCCTTCTCCTTTGCAGGTGGTTCAGAATTTTAAGGACGAATCATACTTTGTGGCTGTGGTGAAGAAAGGTAGGGGTTTTAGAGGGAGATGTCAGCTTGTGCCAAAGGGGCAGAGATTCATATAGCTAAAAGATAGCTATTTATTGCTCAGGAAAAATGTGACTAAATAAATGCATTCTCATGAGGGGGAAAAATTCCAGTTTCTCTGTTAGGGAGTTTATTACAAAGGAAGGTAAGGCCCCTCCCTCTTCTGCCCTACCCAACCTGCAACAATCATATGCAGCAGGAGGGCAGGTGCTTGCTGACTAGTCAGCTGGTAGTTCTGGTTATTTTGATGCCAGCCCTCTGTCCCTGCTGTGATACTACAGTACACTGGGAGGCTTCCTAAAAAGGTGGACTGGAGGTGCGGGCGGAAGAACACCCGGGTGTGGCAGATGCACTGCAGCCACTCAGCTTTGGGAATGTGTTGTAGTGGTGGTTGGGGGCCAGCCTCACCCCACTGGTGCTCTTTTTACTGCTTTCAGTGCAGAATCCAGATGGCTACTACCTGGTTCTGACCTAGGCCCAGGGATACCCTGCTGCAAGAGGAAACTGATGCCAGCCTGATTCTCCAGGGCCGTGTTCACCAGAAAATCCTCGTTGCTTCCCCAGGCTCACATTTCTTTTTGCTCAGCAAGTTGCTGGAACTGGGACACAGTTTCCCAAGATGAGCTAAGCTGACCAAGCCTGTGAGGCAAAAAACCTGGCAATATGGATGAGCTTTTGCCCCAACCAGTGTTGCTGAACAACCAGTGAATTAATGTTTAAAATTTTACTCGCCTTCTTTTGCAAATTAATTTTAAAAGGTATATATACTTAATGCTTGTTCAGTTTTCTTGGTGGTATGGTCCTCTTGGAGAAATGTCCTCTGCCTAAACTATAGACTAGGACAAAGGATAGAGTCTGGAACAGAGAAATGTATGAATCTGGCTGGATTAAATTTTTTCTTTCCAATTAGTTTGGGCAACTATTCATTACAGCCTCCAAAAGACCATTCAACTATCAACTCACCATGCTTATTTAAACTGCAGTTCTAGAGATTTGAGAAATACCATGGCTATTCTTGAACATTGAGGCCATGGGGTTTTATTTTTTTTAAAAATGTAGTTGAATTTATTAATCTTTTAATTTTTAGGTCTTCAGAGGTCTTTCCCTATATTAAGGTAATAAATATAAATAAACCTTTTCAAAGTTAAATTTTGCATTTCACTATTAGGTCTGTAACCCACCTGAAACTGATTTTTGGGTGTATATTTCTCCTTGTAGAAAACCAATTTTATATTAAGTGCGTTTTTAAAAAGTGATACTTCCCTGTATCTTATTCTGCTTATTTTTTCATTCCTTTCCCTCAAAATTTTATCATAAAAAATTTCAAACATACTGAAAAAGGAAAACCCATATGCATGGAGTGGAAAACAGGCCAAGGCACTCTGCTTAATTCCTTATTAATCATTTACCTCAGTTATCATTTACTGGTCATCTTTGGTGAGTCTTTAACCAGGTGGCTTCTGGCTAGGGATGGTGGGAATGGGGAAGGCTCTGAATACTGGCTGAATTGTCCTTGGATAGATGTCACTCTCTCTCTCTGGAATCAATAAAGAAACACATCTTCAGGTGAGGATTAAAAAAAAAAAAAAAGGAATGGATGGGGAAGAGGTCTGCTTTTCCTTGAAGACCTAGAAAATGCCTCCTTCAACATTCAGGGCTGATCCAATATGGACAACTGAGTAGGCACCTGCTTGTACCCCTATAACCCTGTTGTCCTTACCCAGATGACCAATCTAGACCAGGCCTTTACCCCATGCAGGATGAGTGGATTTCAAGTGGGGCCTATGAGTCCACATGGCTCCCTGAGGGTGTTTCATTGCAGGATAGATACCTGAGATTTAAAATTAGGTTGCAGATTTGGCTCCACTGCTCATCTCCACCAAAAGGACGGGACCCCCATTCATTAACCTTTGTGTCTCTCTCAACCTAGGAGCCTCTAGCACAGACCAGACACTGAAATATTTGCTGAAATGAATAAAACAGGTAACGTGAGCATTTACAATGTACCATTATTACCTCTTCTAATCTTCACAACTCTAAAGTACTGTTAACCCCACTTCAACAATGAAGATGAGACAGAGGGTCATTTGGGTAGAAATCAGGCAATCTAACTTGGGAGCTTGTATTTAACCATTACACTGCTCCATCTCCACTCCTTCCTAGATGAGGTAAGGGCAATGCTCTGCACAAGTAAAGGACTCAGGTTGAATTGTTACTGTCAAATTAAGATGACAATTTTTAGAAACTCTGATTTATAATAGGCCTTCCGTTTTTCTTAGAGACAAGTGGAGTTTGGGATATTACAGAAAGGCTACTAAAAAGGTATTAAATAAAGGTCACTAGTTAAATGATATTTAAAAATATAAGGATGCCAAAAAGAAGCCCCTTCACTCCGTTTCAGGAGCCTTGGCAGTTCTAGGGTTCAAGAAAGTAAAGAATCACAGCTCCAAGTCAGGCTATTTCCGCAGCAAAATGAAAAGTCTTCACAGCTTATTTCCTTTAATTACATCATAAAACAAAATTAGAACATACAGGAAACAGTAATAGTTACATAACAATTTACTTTATATATTTATATATAAAAAACATTTCTTTTTAGTCCAAAGATTTTAAAGCAAAAGGAATCCTCTACTGCCACCTTGGATTTTACTTATTTTAAATAACCCTCCCT